ATTCGAAGCAACATGGAATTTTTCTATTCATACTTCTCAGTGGAGTGAAATATCTGTTTTCAATCATACATTAGAAGAACCAGTATTTCTGGAAATATCAGTGAGCTTCTTGCCTATTTCATAATTTTTACTTGCAGCATCATGTTGTTAAGTATGTTACCTATTTTATTTTATTCATTTTATAAATAAAGATATGTTTGGGTGTAAACAAATAAAAACCTTTGTAAGATTTAAATACTGAATCTTTCAATTGGTTTACAATGATAAAATAAGAGGATAGAATCAGAACTACAAGGTATACATAACTTCTTGTATGGCGAAGCAATGTCTCAGTGTATGCCATGTACTTGGATGGTAATAACTTTTATGGCTAAGCAATGTCTCAGTGTATGCCATGTACTTGGATGGTAATAACTTGTATGGCTAAGCAATGTCTCAGTGTATGCCATGTACTTGGATGGCAATAACCTGTATGGCTAAGCAATGTCTCAGTGTATGCCATGTACTTGGATGGCAATAACCTGTATGGCTAAGCAATGTCTCAGTGTATGCCATGTACTTGGATGGCAATAACCTGTATGGCTAAGCAATGTCTCAGTGTATGCCATGTACTTGGATGGTAATAACTTGTATGGCTAAGCAATGTCTCAGTGTATGCCATGTACTTGGATGGTAATAACTTGTATGGCTAAGCAATGTCTCAGTGTATGCCATGTACTTGGATGGTAATAACTTGTATGGCTAAGCAATGTCTCAGTGTATGCCATGTACTTGGATGGCAATAACCTGTATGGCTAAGGAATGTCTCAGTGTATGCCATGTACTTGGATGGCAATAACCTGTATGGCTAAGCAATGTCTCAGTGTATGCCATGTACTTGGATGGCAATAACCTGTATGGCTAAGCAATGTCCCAGTGTATGCCATGTACTTGGATGGCAATAACCTGTATGGCTAAGCAATGTCTCAGTGTATGCCATGTACTTGGATGGTAATAACTTGTATGGCTAAGCAATGTCTCAGTGTATGCCATGTACTTGGATGGTAATAACTTGTATGGCTAAGCAATGTCTCAGTGTATGCCATGTACTTGGATGGCAATAACCTGTATGGCTAAGCAATGTCTCAGTGTATGCCATGTACTTGGATGGCAATAACCTGTATGGCTAAGCAATGTCTCAGTGTATGCCATGTACTTGGATGGCAATAACCTGTATGGCTAAGCAATGTCTCATCTCAATGAATAGCTTATATAATTAATGTAAATCATTTGAATAATGTCAATAAGTTATATGGATACTGATAGTCAAAGTAACATTATCAATGTAACAGTCAACTACGTATATGGATACTGATTCAATGACGTATAGACACTGATTCAAAAAGCTATTTGGATAATGATTCAATAACGTATATGGATACTGATTCAATACCGTATATAGATACTGATTCCATAACGTATGGATGCTGATTCAAAAACGTATATTATGGACACTGAATGCCCATGATTCAAATCGTTATTTTGATCATCACTGAATCGAATTGGAATTCCGGTGCATTTTCGTTTCATCCCCCACCCCTCAAATGTAATCCCGTCCCAATGATCAGGAATATAAGATCCAGAACATTTTTTTAAAGTTTTGGGACCCGTTCATCCCTAATTTTGAAAGGTTAGATTATTCCCGACTTTCGGCCGAAAATCATGACTTTTTCACGACTTTTCCCGACCTTTCAAAATCCCCGACTTTTTCCCGAATTTCCCGGAATTCCCGACTGGTAGACACCCTGTATATATATAAGTCTATATATATATATATATATATATATACATATATAAAAATTTGAACGAATAGTGTTTTTGGCCTCTGGGGACATCAAAATGAAAAAGTAAATCGGTCCCGGGTCTAGGTCTTACCGTGCCACCTACGGTAATAGCTACTTCCCTATAGGGAAATTCGCTAAAACGAAGGATAATATCAACATTTGCTTTTGTTCAGCATAACGTATACCTAAACATCCATGTATAATACTCCCCGGGAGTATACATCATGCACCTAACATCCCATACATCATGTATACATCATGGATAGATGGGGGATCGGTATCTAGGTTTGCTGCAGGAGGACAACACGGTGTTAACATTCGTAAAATGTCACCTTCAAATAACGAAACTAGCCTACGGAACCATAGGCATAGGATATCTAAAATAATTTTTTTTATTGGTATAGCGTTATAGCCTATTATAAACCAAGCAAAAATTTAATAGACACGTTTCAGAGTGCTTTGGGAAAACAACAAAATGGTTTTAGCCATTTAGATCGTCTCTAAGGAAGACGATATTGGTTCATTGATTTAGAACACTAGAAGGTATTACTTTATTTAAAAAGTAACTAATAAATAAACTAAATAATAACCTATCGCAACCCTGAGATAAACTAATTTTGAGCTGAGGCTTGAATAGTAAATTTAAACAGTACACACGGGCGGAAACTACGCAAATATTAAAATAGGATGCTAGTATACAAAGGTAAACTTACCTACTATAATTTACCAAGTGCCTTTCAATTTTTTAAAATACCGGTACCAAATCAAGTTTTGGGAAATTAACCGATTGTCACATTCATTGCAATGCACCCACTTACGCCAACGCAATTACATTACTTGCATATATGCTAATTAGCTTAGTATGATTAAAAATGCTGTGTAAATAGGTTAAAAAAGGCAGTTTTGACTTATTATTTATATTTTTAGTTTATTCCCACAATGTTGGAGACAATATATTCTTCAAGTCCAGGAACGTTTTTTAGCACTATGCATAGCCCCAAAAATAACGTTTAATTGTTGAACAAAACAAACAATTAGCATGAGTTAACAGGATTAAATTACTATACATCACAAGCCTACTTTTAATTTGTTAGTTTAGGCATATAGCATTACGATAAGGTTGGAAACCTATGTAATTATTTTAAAAGGCAGTGGGTCAGAATTAATTTGGTTGCATATTTCATGTAAGTTAGGTGATTGTTTGCTAACCAGTTGTGTGGGTGTGAGAGGGAAGGGGGCAAGGACGGCTATAGCTTGGATCAGATCAGCTTGGATCTCATTCGACCTTACTAGCCTCCTCACGGATCGCTAAGTGTTCCACTTGAGGTATTTAAATCCCAAAAAAGGGATATTTTGAGGGCTCGCGGGATAATTTGTTAACCTGCACCGCACCTACTTTTAAATTAATCCCGAAATTGAAAAAATAACTCAAAATCCTAGGCGCCACTGATTAAATTTGTCATTAGGCATAGGTACATATACCTACTGGTTTTTATTGAGATTATTTCTCGACTACTCCCATTCTTAAAAATATACTACTGAGTAAATGTAAATGTCCACCTATCAAACAAAGTCACAAGTCACGAGTCACCACAAGTCAAACACATAGAGCGACATGATTAAATAATGGGGCCAAAAACACAATGAGCAATGTGACTTGGAATGGCTTAGTTCGGAACAAATCAGTTTGATTGACGACAACGGTTTTAGATTAATAGTGAACTATTAATAAGCAAAGTATATCGACACCACTAATGGAAATTTCAGATCTACCTTCAACACCTGTGAAGTAAAATTAGTTGAAGCTACTGAAAAAAATAGTAGGTAGCCTACAAAACATAATCAAAGATACCGGCAAGTTTAAACATTCACTTTTTTTCTTTGTCTTAGAAATGGGAATAGATGATATTCTCCAAATTGAACTGTTTCTCAGACACCTCTACATTCACGTCACTTGAAATATCTAATATTAGTTTTTTAAATAGCAATTTTCACAGTATTTATAACAAGCAATATACTTTACGAAAAGCCATTACCGTATTACAACTGGTCGCAGTCTCTAAGTTATGTTTCAAATCACATCACACTATTATGTGTAAGTAGGCCTACCGGTACCGGTATATAGCATATAGTGCGAGTTTAGCCTACCCATTTTAGCCTGTAAAAAATTTGTTCACGAGTCTGATCAAGGACAAAATAAGCTTAAAAAGGAGGTTTAAGAGCAAAGAAACTTTATAAGATTGATTTTCTGATTTCCAATAGGCCTATGTTTGGACAATGACGGTTTGTAATATTTTCTGCCTCGGTTCAGGTGGGATAATCTCCTAGATGGACTCTTTAAGTTAACTGTGCCGTAAGTAGTCAGGTAACTTAAGTTAATTATTGATTCAGCCATTAACTTACTGATATAGAGTCATCCAAACCACTACCTATCTAACTTAAGTTATTTTCTTTTAGAAAAAAGTCCATCATAAAAAACAGCGCAAAATTAATGACAAAGTAAAAACCCGCTAAACTGTACAATAGGCTATGTACTAACTTAAGTAACAGTACAGTAAAATAACTTAGGTACGGTGCCTATAAGATTATATGTTACTCGTACATTAAGATCTCGCGGTCTGTACCATTAACAAAGATGTTAGGGGTAACTTGGGCAGAGAGACATCCAAATTAAAAGGTGTGAGACGATCTTGGTGTAACTTAGTAGGTCTATGCAGTGCACTACAAATATACCTACTAAGTTACCAGTAGGGTATGGTTAAATCTGTTCTAGCCTAGGCCTACATAAGTTAAGTTAGTTAGTTGTAGGCACAGTGGAGGTGTTAACAGCACACTTCTGACAGCAGCCTCCCCAAATAAACAACAAAAACTGCTGAGCCCAAGGTAACCTCAAGTACTGTAACTTAACCAACAAAGGAGGGTGGTAACATAGGCCTAAATTGAGACTCATGGAAAGGTAAACTAATAAGCCTAACCCAAACAACATTAAGTTAGACGGTAGGCTAAGAAAGATATACCTAGTTTCCCTTATAAACAATGTTCCATCTTCCACGTTAGATTGAATTAACGATTACAGAGTGACTCCTTCAGTTTAGAAAGAGAAATCGCTTGTCTATTATTAGTGGTTATGTGACAGCATGGCAACGGAAAGCAGGAGATAAAAATTTAAATACTTACATGTAAACAAAATAGTGAAAGAATTAGAGATCCAAAACATAGTCTGATGTAGAAGGGCGGTATATTGGCTAGCATAGAATAAGGCGACTTCATCACGATTTCAAACATCAGTTTGTATGGCCCACTTTAACTTCCAGCAAATGTCAGCTGTAGCATACTTTCTTCTTTGTCATCGTCTAATACCAATGTTTAATGGACGAATATTAACAGGTCAGAGAACAACTTTGAAAACATTAAACCAAACGAATAAACTTTAACACGGAACAAACAAACCTCAACGAAACAAAACACCAACACACGCACTCACTTCACATACACACAGCAGACCCAACTTCTCGTCTTGCTTGCTTGACAGTTTGTTTTTGCGTTATCTTTCAGTTCAGTTCGGATAATCTTACACTCGGGTCCAGTCCAGTCCAGTCCTACTACTAGAGTACTAAAAAAGAGTTCGCATCTTGCTCGCTAGAGGCGTTTCAGTCAGGTCAGGTTAGCCAACCTGAACAGGGTTGCCACGTCCGGGGATTTATCCCGTTCCATGGGATTTTCTAAGATCAAAGGGATATTCTAGGGATAAAACATTTTCTGGGAATTTATTGTGTTTTTAAAAAGAGGGATAATTAGAATGTGTTAAACAAATAAAAATACTTGTTGATTAATAATGGTTTTTTAATGATAATTAATCGGAAATGTGCTAACTAGGGGGGTAATTTATTGTATGATTACTAACTTAATTTTAATTTAATTTAATTTCATATTATTTATTTCAATGGCAAAATTGCCAATTTATACATGGACAATTCAAATAACATGATACTGTGCAACAAGTTTAACAAGCAAAGACAAAGAACAATAATTTAACAATCAAGAAAGGAAACATAACAGATCAGTCAACGAGAAATATCAATAACAACAATATAACAATTACAATGCAAAAAATTTAACAAGAACAAAAATAGAACAAAAAGTACAATAGAATTAATTTACAATGTGATAACAAACACTAACCAGATCTAAGCAAACAGTAAACAGTGAGTTTTTCCATTCTAGGCAGAAACAAAAAGTAGTAATAATATAGGACAAGTATAAACATGGGAGAGAAATTGCAAGTTTTGACTAGAAATACTTAAGCTACAAGGAAACAGATATTGCACTAACAAACAATGCCTTATAATTTATTATCAATTTACAAAGAAAATCATTACATCCAGAAAAGAAAACAGAAAAATTAGAGAAAGACATAATTGAACATCAACCCGAACCCAGGGCGATGGTACCTATCACACATCACTGAGGGCCACCGATCACTGAACACCATCACTAACTTGCGCCTTGAGCAGATTTCTTTTAAAGATGGATGAGCTGCAGCACAAGATGTCGAGATTTCCAGGTATAGGTTCCTGTGCCTTTGAAGTCTCACAAATGGACTGTTCCTACCGTAATTTGAGGAGGCTGCTACCCTGGTGAAGAGGTCAGTGGAGGGAGCGAGTACCAGTGGGAACCCTGAAGTTGAGCTTCTGGAGTAGTTCTGGGCAATCAAGTTCAGAGGTGACCAGACGCTGGAGGAATAGTACGTCGTGGGTGAAGCTTTGGGATTCCAGTGAAGGCAGCTTCAGGAGGAATTGAAGATCATTAATAGGAGCCTCAAGGAACCTGTATCCCAGGCGAGTACCCACGAGGCGCACAAATCTTCTTTGCACCCTCTCCAGCTCGTCCTTCAGATATTGTTGGTGAGGGGGCCAGATAATGTCACAATATTCCAGGTGGGGGTCTCACTAGGGAATGAAATAGCAGCTTTAGCGAGTAGATGCTATTGAAGGTTGATGAGATTCGGTGAATTAGGACGAGGTTGCGCAAGGCTTTGTTGCAGACAGAGTGGACATGGCGATCCCAGCTGAGGGAGGAATTGTTTATTAGTTTTAAGTTTCAGTTCCTCGTTGTCTAGATCCATGACCACTAAAATTATAGATAAAAGGAGTAGTTGAAACTGGAGCAAACTGGGTACAAATTTCTTTAGAGCTTGCAAATCTGGTTTTCATATCTATCAGCCATGATGAAATCCAAAACAAGAAAAACACTATAGAATAGATAGACTTGAATTCCTGTGAAGCTTGTTGTTGAAGTTGCCCTGTGACCAGAGTTGAAGTTGCACCATCCCCACCCATGTGGGGGCCATGGTACACCCTGTCAGTGTAGTCTTGCCTTCTAGGACCGGAATTGTAGCCCCTTGGAATTGTACTTCTCTCCCATTTTACTCAAAACGCTTTATCCACTGAAATTGAAATGGACTTTAGCAATTAATTCCTATACAGTACATGATATTTTTCAAACTGAAATAAATTAAACCCATTATAGGCCTATGTCATCTATCGTATCTGATAGTGTGTTACGATATCGTCCATCATATCGTTAGAAAATTTGTCGATTGGGGAGGTTTTCATGTGCAAAGTTTTATAAACAGGAATTCTATTGTATCATGTAGGCCTACTTACGACCTTTCGAAATTGACTTAGGGCCTTTGCCTACGAATTTTCAAAGTTTTAAGGTGCGTATGAGGGAAATTTTGTGAAAAAGGTTTATTAAATAACACTGATACAGTATTATTAAAACAAACTCAAACTAATCAATAATGTAATCAGGTTGTTCAAGGTTAAAAAGAAGTATCCATATCGTCTGAGGTGAAGAAGAGTAGTGCAGCAGAATTTTTGGACAGGCCTTTTTGAACCATGAAGAAATCAACTACCCAGTGATGACAATGCCAACCTCAACCTCCATTAAGCCGCTATCCTGACTGAATTCCATATTGTCATCTTAACTGACATTGCTGCTACACTTAATTGTCTGAGATCCTGAAAGAAGCATGTCTTCATCCATATTGTCATCTTAGATCTTAACTGACATTGCTGCTACACATCATTGTCTGAGATCCTGAAAGAAGCATGTCTTCATCCATATTGTCATCTTAGATCTTAACTGACATTGCTGCTACACCTCATTGTCTGAGATCCTGCAAGGGGCATGTCTTCATCCATATTGTCATCTTAACTGACATTGCTGCTACACCTCATTGTCTGAGATCCTGCGAGGTCCCGAGGGGCATGTCTTCATCCATATTGTCATCTTAACTGTCATTGCTGCTACACCTCATTGTCTGAGATCCTGCAAGGAAGTGGAAGATGCAGAGTTGTCCAACAATCCTGGGACTAGGCACTTTACTCGGGAAAGAAGGCAACCCGATTGGCTAAAGGATTTCGCCTCGTTGAACATTGCCGAAGTTTCTTCTGGACAATGAACCGAAGACTTACACTGAAGTTATCAGTTCAGAGGATAACACTAACAAGAGATAAACAGAGGATAAACAGCAATGGACAAAGAAATTATAAATTACATCAATGCATACACATGATCCTTGGAATTTGGCCGAACTTCCTCCTATACTTCTTCTTTTGCCTATACCTTGACTAAGACTTCAAGTCCTGCGAGAAAATCTTGGACACTCGGCATGACTAAGCAAAAGTGAGCGCAGCGAACGAGCTCCAACCAAAAGGTGAGTGAGCGTAGCGAACGAACTTCAACTTGGACGTGAATGAGCCATCAGCCATGCGAATACTTGAAGTTAAACGGGGCAAAGCCTGCGGGTACAGCTAGTTTTATCATAATCATACTACTGATGATTATATATTATGTTTATTTATTTTCAGCTGTCTGTTTTACTGGTCCAATTTTGTTCCATGATTTGTTTGTAAATATTGAGTTTAGATTCATTATTATATTTTGTAGCTTAGATTTTCTCTTAAACCTCCACTGTGTTAACACCTACACTCAAGAAACGGACCAGACCAATCCGCAACAACACTTCAATAATACTGGCAACCTGGTTTATAATGTTAATACCCATGCCACAGCAAACCTGCAGACTAAGCGAATTTCTTATTGCCTGATTTGGTTTACACTAAAATGTCTCCTTAAAAATCTCACATTTATTCCCTATTTAAATAACATTAGTTTAACGAGTACTTTGGTTTGCTGCAAAAGGGAGGGTAAAAAGGTGTTTTTTTTTTTTAATGTTAATAGTTTAGTATGAAATGAATGCATTTTCCAAATTTGATCAAAGTATGATCATAAACAAGCAAACTACAACAGTTTACTTATTCTAAAAAAAAAATAACATGGGAATTTTACATTTACAGTTTTGTGGAATTTTTTCTGTAACCATTAGGCGCATAATAACGCTTCAATATACTAAATTATTTGTTTTTTAAGCTCTACAAAATGGTTTGGAAAGAAAATGCTAAATTTTTAGTTTTTAGGGACAAAAATGAGAAAAACCAATTTTTGCCCCATAAAACCCCCCATAAACCCCTGTTCCCATAGTCCGATCATGCTGGTTTGCGAACTTGTTCGAATAAACGTAGGTTTACATGTTTGTACCAAATTTAATCAAAATCGGAAGAATTTTGCTTGAGTTATCGCACTAACGGACACATATATAAATATACATATATACAAGTTTGAACGGATGGTGTTTTTGGTCTCTAGGGACCTCAAAAAACGTAAAAGTAAATCGGTCCTGGGTCAGGGTCTTACCATGAGTACTACGGTAATAGCTTATTCCCTATAGGGGAAATTCGCTAATATTCCCTATAGGGGAACTTCGCTAAAAATGATTATCAAGATAGCAGTTCCACTACATTGATGACCACTGAACACTCTTGTCTGGATCTTGATCTGGCTTCAGCAATCAGCATTCTCTAACAGGTGTGTAATGTGTATTGTATGGAAATTATTACATCTTCGTAGACACTAATGTAGTATTTTCTATTTATTTATATAATGTGCTATTTTTACATGGTTGACTAATTTTAAAGCAGTTTATTGGTTTGTAAAGAGTCTATGAGAAGAAATTTTATTTTTGTGATCATGTCCAATTTTTAAATGTATACAATAATAATCTATATATTAATTTGAAACTGTTTTTCTTTGTGACAGCAATTTTGAGAGAACGGCTGGGCGTAGAAACTCGGTAGAGGTGTCTAAAGAAAGGTCCTGGTCTGTAGATGAGCCATCAAAAGAGAAACATGGAGTATTCCCTCGGGGCTCTGCCCCAGTGGCCTTTAAATTCCCATCCCATGTTATTCTTATGGAGGAAAACGTGGTTTTTGTCACAGCTAATTTGAGAGAAAGGCTAGGCGTAGAAACTTGGTAGGGGTGTCTAAAGAACGGTATTGGTCTGTAGGTGAGCCCTCAAAAGAGAAACGCGGTAAATTTCCTTGGGGCTCTGCCCCAGTGGCCTTTAAAGTTCACTCTGCAATTTTGTTTACATTACGACCATATGGATAATTTTACACTACTTTAATGAACCAGCTGTTAATATTAAAATTGTATTTAAAGGTCTACTGAAACTGTCAAAATTA